TATTTTTTGAATAACTTTTGATAGAAACAAGACAGCTGCGGTTTTCACCTTTGGAAAGAGGCTGATTCAGCACATCGATTCATATAAAATTGTTAAGGTTTATCTCAAAAATAGGAGTGATCCATTGTCATCTTGAAAGAGTAGACTATTGCTCTATGAAAGTAGAACAAATCTTAAACTTTAAGGAGTGCGCTAGAATCGCCAGCTCAAGAGCTACAAAATCATATATAACGCTTGATTCAAAGCTTTACTAGTTTGGGAGTTCTAGGTACTATATTCAACAATTCTAGTTCACTTTGCCAGCAATTTCTGTAAAAAAAACTCAGTTTTTTTGAGTTGTTTTCGTTTTTCCTGGAAAAATCAGACCTGCTTTTAAGACATTTCTTTGTTCAACTATTGCAAAAGGTTTCAAAAATCCAAATTAAAAGTCATTGTATTATATGGTTCGATGTGTTTTCATCTGCTCTTTCCAACAGTGAAAATCGCAGCTCTCTATCTTGTTCCTATCAAAAGTTATTCAAAAAATACGCACCTGCCTTCTTTTTTGGAATGGACAGTCGTATCGATATTCAGTGAGTAGATCAGAATGAATCGATCAACTGCCAATACTAGTTCTATTTATGTATAGCATTATCTTGTTGTACAATTTTGCAACAAAATTTCGCTATACATGTTATACGAAATAGATGTCAACTGTTTAATATGTTTCCGACTTTATACGAAAAATGTTCAGTTAGATAACATTAATCACTTGGTTCCACATATATTTTTGAATTATTTATGTCGACAAAATAAAAGAAATAAAAACTTAACAAAAATGGTCACGGTTTGTATAAACAATGTCATACTCGAAAGACCAATAGAAGTCATGAATAAGTTTATATAGCAAAAGCAGAAAAGTTAACGGGATAGATTGATCTACAACCGAGCTATAAGTAATAATTAATCTAACAGTAAATCAACTGATTTCTGATACCGATTCTATCTTTAATTGATGTTAACCGTTCAATGTTATCTTGCGTGTTTCAGCTAGCAGGAATGTACAAATATGACTTTGTCTAGGATGATCGTTACTGAAGTCTATTTTATGGAAAAAAGTCTTACTAAAGGCATAATGCACAGATGGAACGTAATGTGTCAAATGGATTCATTGAACTTTTTTGTTCTCACTCAACTTAAGTCAAATATAAAAACTGTTAGTGTAATTCCTGTGGGATTGAAATGCGAAATACAATGTAACTATTTTTGCTAGTCACAGGAAGATTACTTTAGTCTATCTATTTTGGAACATATTTCATCATGTCTTTATTTAGTCCTTCAAATAATGCAATATGGAGGGTGTGAGTGGGTGTGAACATTTGCTGCAACACAACAATACTCACACCCACACTCATACCCAAATCTTATTGATATACGGTGTGTCAGGAGTTGTCAGAGTGTCTTAGTTCAATAAAGTTTTATTCAGATTTCAATTTGATGTATGATTTCATTACACAACTATACTCTTTTGCTTGCTAAAACTGCGTAAAGTGACCTTATATTGTTTCATAGTTGTAACTCTCTAGATATACTTTTCGTATGCCAAAAGATAGTTTAATGCAAAAACTAGAATGTTCATTTTCTAGTATACGTTACATTATAGATCTTTACAGAAGCAATGCAATTGGAATATTTTCCAAGTTAAAAAAGACAGTAGTGGTGTGAAGAGAACTATACAAGAAAAGATATTTTCAAACATCGATGTAGAATACAGTTCAATGCGATCACCTTCGGCTGACTTCAATATAAACATCAAGTGTTGAGACAAACCGATAAATTTATAAATAGCTAAAAACTATATGCTGCATATCGAACATGAGTATAGGCTCATATAAACTCGTATTGCATTGTAATTCCTTCTAGTAGTAATATTTTCCAATGTTTTTCACTATTGAAGACATTACAATCGCGACAATTATTGACCAATATGAGAGCTGTATACTATTATTGGAAACTCTCAAGCTCATACTGAGTTTTCAAACGCTAGACAAATTCACTTTTGAAGTTGAAAGTTAAAACATTATCATTTACATTTCAAGGCTTTAGCCATTGCATACTACTGTTTGAAAAACAAACGAAATAAAGTTTTCTTAGTAATGAAATTAATATACAATTATAGTGGCGTAACCAGAAAATGACCGGTGCCCGGGCGGTGCCCCAGTGTTTCAAAAACTTAATTCACAGTAGTCAAAATTTTCATCGAAGAGTGATTAGTCCTCACAATTTTTGTTCTCTTAAAAAGAGAATAGAATACGTCCAAGGCTGCGTAAATTAGGAAAAGTAAGAGTGATGATACAACCCAATTCGAGCAAATTTTACTGAATGAGCTTCAGAATCTTTCATTTTTCTCGCTCACGAACACGGTTGCTCATAAGCCTTCGAGCTGAGCGAGGATCGACGATCTGTATGATCAATTAGGGAATTTTTTGAAAAATGTACACAAATTTTTACGGAAACTACAGCATTTTTTTGTCAATTTTGCGAGGGAAAAAAGACAAAATTGAAACAAATTTTCGAAAAAAATTGAAATTTTTTTACTAGGAGGGAGCCGATCTGATTTCGAGACCTGATGAGGAGAACACGAAAAGTTCTTCGAAACAACAGTAACATTCTAGAATTTCGCCTTGAAAAATCGAAAATTTTTCGTCAATGAGTTAGGGAGACTGCTATTCCTACACTTCTTTCGGTTTGGGTGGCCCTGGACTCACCAATTTTACAACTCGGATTCACTTTCTTCTCTAGGAAACTTAGCTTTGTCACCAAAAAATTCTCGATTTTTCCGTTTTCGGTTCTCAAATTTAGCGAGAAAGTGGCCGATTCTCTCGAAAACACGCCCAAAAAAATTAGAAAATTGTCTGTCTTAAACTTCAAGGCAAATTCGCAGTTCTAAATGTATTTTCTTTTTTGTGGGGTGAAATTAAGCAGAAAAAAAAACGGACCATGTAAACAGGGAACAAATACTGCCTACTCATCCACGTGTCTAGTTTTTATCATATTTGTAGGACTTACGAATGGTTTTCAATGCTTTTGATTATGCGACAAAAGATGTTCCGATGCTAAGTATTAATTTTACTTTTGACCGGTGCCCGGGCAAAAACTATTGGTGACCGGGCGGCGCCCGGGCATGCCCACCCCTAGTTACGCCACTATACAATTATTCTTACTTACCATCGCTTCGATTAGAATATAGTGACCAACGAAATGCTTGTCGACATTGAATATCTTTAATATGATCAAATGAAGTAAACATGGCTAAATTTCTTTCTCTTTGTTTCCAGTTGACACAAACGAATGCATCACTGTACACATAAGCCTCTGGATAAAATTGGCCATTACCACATGAAAAAGAAAGAGGATATCGATCTATAAGTTCTTCACATCGAAATGTGATACTTAGACCACAAGGCGAATAAGGCCACATCGACCATATCCCGGTGGCTACTTTCTCCTCACTACCATCAAGACAATCAACATTTAAGGTGCTGTCTCGTACAAAGGTCACTGGAATACATTGACCACCATAATGACATCGATATTCATCATCAGCACATGTTGTCATCTCTAATGTTTCACACCACTGTTCGTCTTCACCACTCATACAATCAACTTTGCCATCACATATTTGTCGCCAATCGAGACATAAAGCCCATGATCCACGATCACAATCAGATAAGAAACGATAACATGTAGTAACGATTCCTTCAAACATAGTACGCCAACGACTTTTCACAAAAGATTCAATCATTTCAGTAAGTGATAAAGATGAGCTGTGGACAAATCGATACTGACATTTTGATCCAAACGATGGCGATGAACAGTTGTAGAATAGATCTAAACTTTGACTATTGATTTCATAACGTTCAGCAACATCGATAGGTGCTCCCCAATTTAAAAGTTGTTCACTTGTTACACCTTTTTTCCTTAATTCATTAAAAGTAATCTTGTTTGATATATTTTCATCTAGTATATCAGATATTTCATCTTGTTTTTCATCATTATCAGGTCGTCGACAATAGGGAGTTAACTGTTGGTTCATAATATATGATGAATATGCATTTAATTCACTTTCGACAAATTGAATGTACAGACAATCAAATGTCAAATACGAATGCTGACGAATATCGGTATAATATAGTAAATATCGAGTTTGCACTGCATTCTGCAGAGCAAGAAATATCATAATATGCATAATCAGCATCTTTTCACGATCTAAATCAGAAGTAATAATTATTTGACATTTGTGAACACATAAAACACATTGATCAACAAAAGATCATTTTTTTATTCGTCGAATACGCAAACTCAAAGACTACATATTGTGTTACTGCTCGTTTTATGAAATCCTAAGACATATGTGGTTCTTATTTCAATAAAATCATACTCACAATTCATAGATTAAAAGAGAAATTAACGTTCTTTTGCTCGATCTCCATTCAAGAACAGACATAATAAACAAAATTTTATCAGATGCAAAATTAGAATTTATGATTTATTTTTTTTCTGGAAAAAGAGTTCTTGAGTATTGAAGAAGACAGTAACTTACAGAGAAGCAGTCATCCTATTCCGCAATATTGAACATGCCGAAACCAGTTCCGCCTCCGTAATCAGTTTCGTCCAATTACGAGAATCCGATCGTCTTACAATATAAGATACCTGCTCGACATAGATCGAGTTCCATCGAATTCTGGAATCGGTATGAATTCCTGAAATTCCATGCCATTCCGGAATTGATAGGAATTCCCAGGAATTCCGTGCAATTCCATCTCCACTCAATTCCCGGAATTCCGTACCGGAATTCGGTAGTGATCGAATCAAATAATCTTTAACCACATCAGTATGCGTGAGGGTACGGATGAGATGTAGTTCCGGCTAGAAATTCTATGCAATTCCGGAATTAGGTCGAATTTCCGGAATTTCGGAATCGATAGAAGGTCCCGGCAATTCTCAGGAATTCCGTGGATTTCCGTCTCGATTCAATTCCTCCAATTCCGTACCGGAATTAGATAGTGATCGAATCGAATAAACATTAAGTACATCAGTATATGCGAGGGTGAAGGTGAGATGTAATTCCGGAATTGGCACGAATCGGTAGGAATTCTGTGCGATCTCGGAATCGGATTGAATTTTGGTAGTTCCAGGAATTTCGGGAACTCGATCAATGTCGAATAATCGTCTTATATTGAATGACGATGGAATTCCCAAAACTCGATGGAACTGATTTCGGTAACGGAAGTGGTTATGCAATGTTCAACATCGCGGAATAGGATGTATTCTCACTACAGACAAGAATTCATTGTAGTAAAGAATAATCGAGGCATTAAAAAGAAAAGAAAATAAAAGAAATATGTCGCATAAAAATAATCCATCATAATAAGAATAATCAATATAATTTTTATGAAAAGAAAGCACGAGTGATATATGAAAATTAAATCAAGAATGTCAAGAAATTCATCAAAACTAGTTTTATCATCACCGACCG